CCTGATCATGAGTAGCTCCCTGCGTGTACACACTTTGCTATCAATATACGTACTGAATAAACGTGCTCCGTGCTAATTCCCGGGGACTTTCGAGTTGGAAGAAACTGCTATAGAACCTCCTTGAGAATAGTCAAGGTTATTGAGGTAGCTAATCCGCTACAAGTTCCAATTAAGAAAATCACTTTGCTTGCGCACGTTCATCATATGAATATCCTCATTGCAGAATTGCATATGAACTGTTGTAGACATTGGCTAAAATACGCCAACTTATCTAATTGTTTGTCAAACAGAAGAGTTGGTTATAATTTTTCATGGTGAAATATTTATTTATTTAAATCAAATGGCAGGCTTTATGATGGTTATCATTAGCCCTTTAGTTGACTTCAGGCTTCACAGAGGAAGAGGAACATCAAATCGAAAAAAGTCGAGATGGGGGGGGGGGTGAGGAACAGAAGAGTGCTTTAAAGATGTAAAAGAGACAGACACAAAGGTAGATGAAAGGTGAGGTGAGTACTGTGACAGTGGTCTTATATGACATACAATGGAGTCATGATAGTTTGAACTCAGAAGTCAACTGCCAGTTTATAGACTTTTTTGCCGTGTGAGTATACGTTGCCCAGAGTGCACCACGTGGAGGTAAGTCTATCGCACATCCCATGGGGAAATATAATAACGAATAATTGTTAATTAATTTTCCTTAATGAAACAAATATCATTTATAATTTCATCACAATTTTTAAAAAGTGTTTATTCCCTAAACTGCTTGTTTGCATGGATACGACAATATTGTACAAAGTTGGATACAATTAAATTTGTTTAAGATTACAAAAATCTCTACGAAACCTAAAGCCTTCGTTTTTTCCACAATTTCAAACACCACACCTATTAGACTAACCTCAAAGAAAATGCGTGGAGAAACTAATTAATCTTACGATTCTTGGAAATATATTGACTCAAAAACTCCTCGAATCTTGGCATATTCCGTTTGCGAGTTGCTATCTTGGTTTGGGAATAACTTTAAAGCCTTTATTAAACGAAAATGACACAATTGTTTTAGTCATCTCGTTCTGGCTATATTAAAATGAAAGATGTGGAAATGCAGGGATAAAATAAGTTTATTTTTAACAACCAATTAAAACACAAAAATGAATCAGTGATACCGCTCAATAAAGCAGTGAATATCGTTGAAAAGCATGTATCGTACTCCAAGGAACAAATCGTGAATTTTAAAGTTTAGTGCGAGAATTTCCCATTTACTAATTATCAAGCAACCTGTAGCCAAATTTTAAATAAATTAAAACTCTTTTATATCTTGTCATTACACAATATCTTTCGACCACCACTTTTTAATTGATTTACGTTTCGAAAAATTGATTTTCTTTGCAATGCTGTGAGTGCTAATAATAATAATACTAATAATACACGGCACTAATAGCATCTAGATGAGTAACGATAAGTTCGCAATTCACACTGGAATAAGTTAAGGCGAACATTATTCTAAAAATGCTCTTTAAACCTTTCGCCGTGGTAGTAAAACTTTCCCCAGTCAATGTCACGTCATGTGCTTTCCTTGTTCTGGAGATAATTATGGACTTGAGCTAGTTTCTAAGGTCCTAACTGATGCACAGATCACAACGAGATATGCAACTTGAATACCAACCATGAGAATAGCATACTTTTAATTGAATCATGACATCCAGGGCTGTGAGAAGCAATTACTCGTTATAAAGCGCTTGTGCAATAATATAACTTGTTTGAAAAATGCAAGCAGAAAATCAAGCTCAGAAAATGTAGCTCCCCACTTAAATGGTGTAAATTTTGCAAAATAATTAGATTAATTAATCAAAAATTAATAAATATACTACAATTCGGCTTTCTGAAAATAAGCGATTACATTGCCAAGTATAACACTGACTTTATTATGCATTGATTGGGATGTGAGATAGACTTACCTCCGTGATATATTTAATGAATGGGGTGTGCGATAGACTTACCTCCACGTTGTGCGAAACGCCCTGGGCAACGTATACTCATACGGCAAAAAAGTCTATAAAATGGTAGTTGACTTCTCACTTCAAACTACCATCACCCCACTGTATAATTGACTTCTGACTTCAAACTACCATGACCCCACTGTATGTTACAAAGTATACTCATACGGCAAAAAGTCTATAAACCGGCAGTGGACTTCTGACTTCAAACTACCCTCACCCCACTATATGTCACAACTTCTCACTTCAAACTACCATCACCCCACTGTATGTCATTGTGTATGCGCATACGGCAAAAAAGTCTATAAACCGGCAGTTGATCTAACCCTAACACGGCAAAAAGTCTATAAACCGGCAGTTGACCTCTGACTTCAAACTACCATGACCCCACTGTATGTCATATTTGGGCAACAGACCCATACGGCAAAAAATCTATTAACCGGCAGTTGACTTCAAACTACCATCACCCCACTGTATGTCATATTCGTCTACTTCCACTTCAAACTACCATCACCCCACTGTATGTCATATTCGAAACTTCACTGTATGCCATATTCGACCCCTTTCACAGTACTCATCTTATTTTTTCTCTGCCTTTTTGTCCGTCTGTCTCTTTTACGTCTGTGAATCATTATTCTGCCCCCTCCTCTCGACTTTTTGTCACTTTGATGTTCTTCCTTCTCTCTGTGAAGCCCAAAGTCAGCTAAATGGCTAATGATAACCATCTAAACGCCTGCCATTTGAAATAAAAAAATATGCATTGATTAAAGTTTATTTAAAGTGAACTTGGGGAACTTCTATGTTCAAAATTTATAGTATCATTTAAAATGACTTTGAGGTACATGGAGTAAAGCATTTTTCAATTCTATGAATATATTTCGTAAAAAATCTTTTGCCAACTCAATATCAACCAGCTGAAGGAAAATAAAGACAGCTTTTTTATCATGAATTTATTGAGCTATTATACTCTTTACTAACAGTCAGCGTTTTTGTCCACCAAACTAGTGGTGCTTGATATCAGCATATATTAGTTATTGGCAGCATCACATGTAAGCACAAGCTCATAATGACACATATGCTAAAGAACCAATGAGAAACTAGCTAGATGTTGCAACATATTGCAAATGTGATGAAACTTTTCTCCCTCACATAAATATGCACACAATGAACTCAATTCTTCATTCCAAGCGTCGCACCTACAACTAATTAACCATGTTTGTCCCTGCCTTTATTCATCACGAGTTTGACGATGTTTCGACTCCTGAAGCCGACGAGAAAGTTGCTCTTGCCGATCCCAACTCAAGCAATGAGGAAACATAGAAATCCCGATTTCCAATTTTTCTAATCAACCCTTCTTGCAGAAATTTAAAAAAAACAACATAATGCATTGCACACCGGTATGCAATATAGCGAATTACTGCTACGCATTCTGACAGCACCATATTTCTGCGATGAATTCGCCCCAATTTTCTCAAAGTCTACTCGGGTTTCAAGATTGATTATTTCCTGTAAAGTTAAAAACAATAGCAAGGCCTTTATGCATACACTTCTATGAACGATTATATTTAAAATCATTTATACCCAATAGAACACAATTTTTTATCGAATTTAATACTTAATTTTCAAAAATTGGCAATTGAATAAAATTTTTCTTTTTTATTTAAATACTAAGCTGATTTTCACCATTATTTCTTGAAACGGGATTCAGTTTAGGATGTGTTTTTTCATTTAATTAATTCTTACCAGAAGCATAGTACTCATTATTTAATCGTGGTTTTTTTAACATAAAAGTGGCATTGAAACTTTTGAATAATAACCAGATTATTGCGTGACTTAGTTCAACTAACCAAATAAATTAGCTAATTTTTCATCTGTTGTCGAACTTGTGTGATTTCAAACCTATGGGGATAATTCCTGGCTTTTATCACAAAGTGCAGAAGAGATTACAGCCCGCAAGAGGCATATCTGAAAATAGCTTCCGATGCAGTTAAACTGTTGAAAGCCTAAAATGAAAAACCCATACGCGAACATTCGTGCTTCTTATATATATATCGAAAACTTACCTTAGGAAATAGAAATGTTGATCTCTTGCGAATTTTAATAGGTGCTACCCTCGATGATTACAACATGTAGCTCAAGTTTTATTACTCCAACTCACAATTAAATATCAAGGGTTTAGTTTCACACGTTATATGGCGCAATAAATAATGCTAAATTTGAATGCTCACTCAAAGACAGACAGCCAATTAGAACCTCTCATTCTCCCTCTCGAACTTAATTCAATTTCATGATTCAGCCTTTATTTTGAGAATTAAATGGGCTAATTAATGACATGATCTGCAGAAGTAAAAAGTAATCATAATTTTTATTGAAAATTTACACCTGAATATAGAAAAGACTTCATGGAATAGAATCAACGTTGGGTTAAAGGAAAATTGAAAAAAAAAATAGGAAAGCAAGACCGTTTTGCTAAAACGAAAGAGAGGTATCTAAGGTGACAACAATGGTGACAGTCTATTTTGTGACGAATCTAAGAAGTTGATATTTATATAAAGTATTATGAATCCAGCAAATCAATAATTATGCATAAGTAAAATATTATTATTTCAAACAGCAGGTATATATATATATAGGCTTTAGGACAGTTAACAGTAGTTAATTCGTTGACTTCTGGCTTTCCAGTATCTCTGGGTCTCTGTCGTTGTCTTTGGGGCTGAACACCGAATCAGGGGGGTCTTCTCCATTTCCTCCTGTATCACCGAATCAGGGGGGTCTTCTCCATTTCCTCCTGTAGGTCACATAGGGGGCATGCTGGTTGAGCGTATACGCCTATTATGTAAAGATGCTTCGCCAGGCAATCATGCCCACTACGTAGTCTAAACTCAGCAACGGCTTCGATTCTTGGCCAAAGTCTAAACTCAGCAACGGCTTCGGTTCTTGGCCAGTCGTTAGTCTAAACTCAGCAACGGCTTCGATTCTTGGTAACCGTGTCAGGTACGTAGTCTAAACTCAGCAATGGCTTCGATTCTTGGCTAGTCGGGTCGAAGAGTGCCACTGTCCACTGTTTCTCCTTTCTTCGAGGTAAGACTCAGCAACGGCTTCGATTCTTGGCCAGTCGGGTATGTTGAGAGTGCCACTGTCCACTGTTTCTCCTTTGTTCGAGCTTCTAGCAACGGCTTCGATTCCTGGCCAGTCGGTTATATCGGAGAGTGCCAACTGACTGTTTCTCCTTTGTTCGAGCTTTGAGTTCGTTGAACCTGTCCACGTCCACGTCTCCTTTGTTCGAGCTTTAAGTTCGTTGCACCTTGACTGTATACTCCCAATCTTTGAAGGTGTTTTGCCAGGCAATCCGTCCGGTACGTAGTCTAAACTCAGCAACGGCTTCGATTCTTGGCCAAGGTATGTCGGAGATTGCCACTGTCCACTGTTTCTCCTTTGTCGAGCTTTGAGTTCGTTGCACCTTGAGGTCTTGAATTCTCTTTTTGTTCAAGCTTTAAGTTCGTTGCACCTTGAGGTCTTGAGTTCCCTCAGCTTTAAGTTCGTTGCACCTTGAGGTCTTGAGTTCCCTCCTAATTAAGGTCTTCATTGTGTGGAAAGACATCGGCCGGTCTATGTCTAGCAAAATTGTGGTCCCCTTCTTAGCAAGTATGCCAGCGCGCTCATTGCCTTTAATGCCACAGTGACCAGCAATCCATTGTAGAACTTACCTTTAATGCCACAGTGACCAGCAATCCATTGTAGGACCACCGCTTTGTTTTTCTCTCATCAGCTGATAGGTGGGGCTCCCCATAACCAGGAATTAGTCGTAATGCTTGGTTGTGTGCCTTCTTGAGTGTTTTGAGTATCACCTCTGCGGCTGTAATGAGTGGCCCACAGCAATACAACATTATCGGTTGAACAAACATCTTGTAAGTGGTG